TCCAGTCCATTCAATTCCTTGTTCGCGCCTTCTCCATTGTTCGGTATTTCCCCGAGTTAAATATTGAATATCTATTTTCTGAGTAGTCTCGTGTTCACAGCTTTGTGGATTGTGTGGCTATTGTCCAATGCCACTACAGGGTCACCATTTTCGTACCAGTGATAATGATTGCTTGTTGGACTGTTTTGATATGTGTATGCCTGATTTTATGGTAATAGGTGAGTTTGGTCATTTGAGCACGAATCTCTTGAGGGATCGAGGCAGCTCTGTTGTCTGTTTCTGTATGCTTTATGGTTTGAAATCTAAAAGTCTGGGATTTCTTGTCAGTTTTGGACGTAGAGAGTATCTTTGGAAACTACCCAACCTTATATCTCTTGAAGTCCGAGTACACTAACTGAAGCCCGATTTGATATTGACCGCTGGTTCGGCAATACGTGTATATGTACCAGTCCACGTCTAAATGGTTTTATTCCATTTTGCTATATCCCAAAGACTGTGAAATATCGAACTGATATGATTGATGTAAGATATATAATGATCCAAAATGAGGACTTGGTACGGATATACTAGTGCACAAAGGTGAGACTTCATGCATAAGTGAAAAAGCTGACAGAAACACGTGTTAACCAATTATATATCACTGAACGTAGTAATAATTAGTATGTGAAGAATCTTATATGGAAGTCTTTTTCGGGAAACACGACAAATGGAATTCACCCGAAGAGTCTATGCCCTTCTCTGCATGAGGCGCTAGGTGGAAGAAGGCAAATATAGATAATGCTTGGTATGGGAAGGCGAATAATCCAACGAGGTGGGTAGTGGTCTGAAATTTACACGACGCTATTATACTCTACGGTCAATTCCCTTGGCTGATAAAAAACAAAGAATGACGTAGTTAGAATTATGTAAGAGCAATGAAGTTCAGCGGCAGTACAAAATAACGTGATGAACAGTGTGCATTCACAATTCATGCATACAAACACATATAAAATACAGATATAAATGTTTGTGAAACGTGGTTAATCTAAATTGTGTGCGATAATGAAGTTGAAATTTTAAAACGTTTGCTAATATAAAACATATCTTTGATGTTCTTTCTTACTTTCGACTAACAGTTATAGCTTGGTTTCTAGTCCGACAAATAAATCTAGTGTTTGGAATCCGAAACCAACAAATTCATTCGGTACTCACTGTACTTTTAGTGAAGATAATATAGAAACGAACTTAAGTTGGAAAATTTTGCATTAGATTTTTATACTTATATCTTAACATGGGTGACTACAGTTAGTTGGATGCTATTAAAACGAAATTTTTATCCATATCTCATAGGAACACTTATTCTAGCTGTAATTCCAGTCACTTGATCGAGATGGGCGGAACACCCATAATTTTACGGCAGTTGACCTTCAACAAGTGCTTTTGCGCACCTAAAAAGCGGTCTGCTTGAATATCGAGGTTATTCGTTCCTCCAATCTAGATATTTCAACCAGTTATCTGTTTCCATGTTTGTTTTAACAAGTCATTATGTCAATTAACTACAAAACATATTCAGGTGCGTTTGTGAAAAGTTTACAATCTTTCGCCGCACAAGTTACAAAAATTTACAATCGGAGACATTGTGACGGCTGGTAATGTGTTTTGAAAAGAATGAATATTATTCAGATCTCGACTTCCGAAGTGCTAATATCTAACTGGCGATCACTCAATATTTATTGTATATATCGATGATGAAATAGGAAACGGAAACTTGTTGAAATACTTCGTGCTGATAATTCTATATTGTACCAAAAATATAATAATGAATAAACCCAATAATACTACTGTCGTAACACATTACCTCTCCACTCACACAAAGCTCATATAGAGTACAAAAATCGTATGCTGGAAGGATTATCCCGCTTTACTCGTCTTGGATTCACTTATATCCTGACTCTAGGGAACTTCGATATTCTTAAAGTCAATTTCCCGGAACAAACGTACATTGAAAGAGGAAACTCTATTGAAGCTCGGTTCTTCAACCTCATTGAGGACCTGGGATTATTCGAAAATGTGAAGTCGGCAACTCTTTGGAAAAAACAGTCAGACGCCGTCACGCATGGTCTGCGTATTTACAAACGAAGAACTTCTAATTGACAACATCTAAATCCTGGATCCCCTGGGGAAAATTGATCACGCCATCATAGACTTCAGTTTTATCAGCAAAACTGAGCTAATACAGCCTACCGACAACATGCGCTCAAAATTCAAATGGTTGGACGCGTCAGCCTTACAGAACAATTCATAACAGGTGGACTGGGAAGCTCATCCTCAACTTGATGTGGATGCTCATCAGGATTTCTTACTGCACACGATCTTATGTGCTACAAAGCATTCTGTTCCGCTAACAGTCCCCAAAGTCTACAAGCAACCTACTGTAATCAGGAACCTCACTCTTTGTTTGCCAAGCCGCAAAAGACACTGCTAGGCGGGATACAAATGAACTGGTAACAACGATGCATACAAGTAATTCAAACTAATAAGGAACATATGCACAAAGACAGTAACAGAAGACAGGCTTCAGTAACAGATAAAGCTTGTGGATTAATTTATCTCCAATCCGAAATACTTATTTCGTCATACAGCCAAAACTGGAGTTTCCAAACTGCTAGGTCCTAATGGCCTAACCAACAATAACGGTGACACCGCTGACCTTTTGGCAGAACAGTACTCTCGGATATTCCAATCGACCTATACTAAATATATTGATGAACGCTTCATCTGCAACTGCATAGGACTTTCCGAAGCGAACCTGAGCGCTGACTTGGTGTACCGGAAAGTGCAGCACCTAAAAAACGACACCTCTCCTGGTCCGGATATGGTCCATTCTGTTATAGTGAGAGGAGAAGCTTCAATCTTGGCAACACCGCTTAGCGTGACGTTCCCACATCCGCTAAGTCGAATCACATTACCGGAATATCGGAAGCTGGCTCACATCACACTAATTTTCAAAGGAGGTCAATGCAGCGAACCTTCAAGCTGCCGACCGGTAGCACTTCTCTCTATACCCCCAAAAATTATGGAGTCCTTGATATGCGACGGTACACACGACTATTTAATACCCATAAACTTTTTTTCATTCTGACAGCACGGTTTCAGAAACGGTGACTCTTGTAAAACCAACCTGATAACTGCGGTGGACAGATGGTCAACCATGCTTGAGCGCAAGTGTAAGGTTAACGCCATTTACCTTGAATTCTGAAAAGCTTTTGATAGGGTCAACCATATATGTATTATCAATAATGTCAAACGATTAAGTATAAAATCATCTTTAACTGATTGGCTCACTTCATATCCAAAAAATCGACGTTTTAAGGTCAGGATTAACTCCACTTTCTCTCAGGCTAAGGAATGTCCTTGTGGGATCCTCCCCTCAGGGTTCAGTACCACGACATCTTTTCTTAATTTATATGAACGTTCTTACACAGCAGGTATCGTCATATTTATTACTTATCACTGATGATGTGAGACTCTGAAGAGAAGTATGCAATCAAGAAGATAAACTGGCGTTTCAGGAGTAGTTGACTCAGCTTTAAAGCTGGTTAGATGACAACGGACTCACATTTAACAGTTAAAAAGTAAATTAGTCCATCCGAGACATGTTGCAGACTATAACTGCAACTTAGGTGACTCTCCTCTAGAGGTATGCCAGGTGAAAATGATCTAGAAGTACTGGTACCCCACGATTTTAAGTCTTACGCTAAATGTGACAAAAATGCCTTCCGAGCAAACCGTGCTTTGGTAATGTCGAGGCTCATTTCCGGCCAGTTCGACTCAAGAAATTTACACATGATCTTCAACAGTTTTATTCGTCCCTATTTAGGGTACGGAAACATAGTGTTTCCTCCCTCACTCCAAGGGGGTAAGGACACTCTGGAACGTATCCAACGGTGAGCCACGAAATCAGTTCGGAGATTCAAATTTAAGTCCTTAGAAGAGCGCCTCCAATCACTGAACCCATTAGAGTACATGCGTCCTAGAGGTGACATTTTAATAACTTAAAGCATTCTAAATGCTTATGGACATCCCCCTAAGCACTTACTTAAGCTCAGTTCCAACACAAACCTTAAGGGTAATACCCAGAAACAGGAGACACAACTCAACAGAACGGATTGTAGACACATCTTCTACTCCAAAAGAGTAGTCAAATGCCGGAACTCTCTACCGGCTGAGTTAGTTCAAGCGACTTCCCATGAGTCTTTTAAGAGAAAAATTGACATATTCTTAAGGACTAAGGACAGTATCTCAATATGACTTACCAACTTTGTTTCTTTTTCCTCTTTTATCGATAATATACCTAGGTTCCTGCCTGGAGGTTTCGGTGATTCACTGCTGCTAGATATAGAAGCCCGTTGAACGAAAGCTCCAACTATTCCATACAGAACCATTTGAACAATCTGGACGTTTAACTCTTGCGCTACCAATTTCTAGTTTCAGCCGTCCGAGTGTTTTGGTCTCGCTCATGTTACTGCTAATTATTTCAGATCTTCATAACTTGGTTTAATTATATTCTGTATGTCTAATCGGTCATCATCTCACTTTTCTTCATACATTCCTTTTTAGATTCGTTCACTCACTCTGTTTTTCGCATTCTCCAGCACACTGGGTCGCTTCAAACAAGACGTTAAATGTCATAATGCCAATAAATCTGCCTCACATCTTACATCAAATTGAAGAGGCATGTAAAGCAGTAGGCTTGTCTTTTGTTTGTGTACATGGATATTTAGTCCTCATCTAACCAAAAACTTTGTCGCTTGGTCGCAGTTTCGAAAGAAAAACCTATTAAGTCTATTATAGAAGCTTATAATTTTGGACAAAGACATTTTGGAGAGAACAAGGTAGTCAGAGGAATATCTTTAAACTAATTACATTAGATTGTTCATTTGTATGACAAGAGTTATTCACCTGAGGTATATTTGTGCACCTATAGACTAAGCAGAATATTCAGTTAATTAAGTCTTGTCCGGACATTAAGTGGCACTTCATAGGCCGGATTCAATCCAATAAAATAAAAAAGCTTACCGGTAGTTATTCACCTTTATCTTACGTCTTAAGGAGTTAACAATCTATACATGGTAGAATCTGTGGACTCAATGGACCATGCTGAGATTCTTAATTTATCATGGGGGTTAAACCATCAGATCCCTCTAAACATAATGATTCAGGTGAACACAAGTGAAGAGCCTCGTAGTTCTACTTTATTGCATAACTCAGTTTTTAGAGAAGAGTGGCATCAAACCCACTGAAGTTAATAATCTGTACAATCAAATTGAAGCAAAATGTCCTAACTTAAAAGTCGTTGGTCTTATGTGCATTGGAAAAGAAGGAGTGGATATCAATTCAGGTCCAAATCCGGACTTTGTGGTTAGTATTTTGGTTAACTTATATTTCAGAAACTTGTACAATGCAGAGAGTTACTGGCCTCTTCTTTGGGGAAATCGCCGTTGGATTTTGAACTAAGTATGGGAATGTCTCACGATTTTGAGCAGGCTGTAAGTTTTCAACATTATTAACTGTAAATATAGATACGACTTGGAAGCACTAACGTCCGCATAGGAACGGCAATATTTGGGCAGCGAGACTCGAAATACGTACCCAGACAGGATACCTCTGCAAACAATCAAACTCCCATTTGATATTCTATCAGTTTTGTTAAAACTGTCATTATTTGGCTTTCATCACTTCACGTAGCCAGTTTTTTGCATATTGTTGAACCCGTTTTGTTCCATAAGTATTTTTGAATTACTTAGTTAATAAAGAAATAATACAAATTTAACGGTATTCTGCTTGTGGGTCTCCAGTTCGGGCTCTGTTGTCTATGTTTAAACAAAATACGTATTCAGCTTTCTGAAAAACATATCAGTCAGCTACAACGTACGACCAGGAACATATATGCATCGGTCCAAGTTGCCACATCTCATTAGCACAACAAGATGAACACTGGATTCATAGAAGTAGTCAACTCAATGGTAGTAATGTATTAAAAAAGACTGTGTATAAGGATGTAGTACAGGAAGAAAGAATCAGTTCGCAGAAAGAAAGGTATAGAGCAATTTTAATCACAGTTTAAGAGAGGACGACGAGTGTATACAGCTACACCATTGTGATCGATTCTGAGCCATGCCACTCAGAGTCTGCAACCATTGGTTACGATAGTCACACGGACTCAACCAAGTAGTCTGCATCTATCCACATGACTCAAACCAGAAGTTATTGGCTTGGTGGATTGTTACCACGTTCTGGTTTGGCCGCCCCTTACTTCCAACCATCCCCAACACTAGTCAGTATTGCGCGTCGTGATAATCGTTTTTGAGGCATACGCAACGCGTGGTCCAACCATTTCAGTCGATGGAGACTTAAAACCTCTTCAACTGATTTATCATCGTTCCTTAATAACCTGCGTCCAACCTCACTATTACTTACCGGATGATCCCAGTAGATGCGAGCAATATTTCTAAGACATCTGTGATAAAATACTAGCAACTTACAAGTACCTCCCACCACTTTTTCAAAAAGAAATGTCATCCCCATGCGTTGCGCATTAAGGTTTATAACTACAATGAGTTTGGGTGTGCTGTCACTTCAGTGGGTAATGTACATAGTGCACCTAATATCGCTTAGTTAAGCTGTCTCCGTACTCCAGTTATCGTTTATCTGTTGTTCAGAAATTGTTTTCTCTTTCCATCTCCGAAATATATAACTGCGTTTCCTTCTAAAGTTTCCCGTACAGAGAAATCGTCACATGCTCTAGCTGTTCCTAATACAAATATAACTAAAAACAGTTGTGACTGTCTAAAAAACAATTAACAATAATTAGTAACACTAAGTTTTTCCTATTGATTTCGATCATCAGTACGAGTTATTATTCTTAGTTTAGACGCACATCTAATAACATATTTACGCGGAAACTTAGTGTTCATATAATAATTTACAGGGAGATAAAGCTTATCCTAATAAAGCCTTACTGGATAAATAAATTAAAGCTAAAGACGTCGATATAACATCTTGGTACTCAACCTGAGTTTTCGAAATCCCTGATTTTGTGAGACAAATAGTCCCATCAGCTGGAGCCGAACTTTTGCTTTTGAAAGACTAAGTGCTGTTATTTACGCTGCGGTTGGAATTCAGCCTACTTAATAAATCTGGAGATTTGTTCACATCCCATTGTCATACAGTGAGCAATTACTAATCTCATACTAACCTCAAGTAGGTATCTGGATTACATTCACACACAGTCATGATGTACATTATAAGTTTCAATGTTTACAGGATATTTTGCTTAATAATGTACGTTTCTAAACAGTTTGCAGAAAATTTTGAACTTTCATTTAATACTTATCAGCACTCATTAATATAGTGTGTTTGTAACTATGACGGAGCTTTTTGTGCTTTTAAAATGTCAATCCTTTAAATTCAATATTTAGTTGTGAATATCGTAGTGTTAGTGATTGGCTTCGGTTTGTAAGCATTTTCAGTTAAAGAACAACAACATGGTCTATAATCTCACGATACTGTTTGTTGTAACATCCGGTTATTTGGGTGCTTTCTTTAGTTTTCATAGATTTAAATTTCAAACGAAAAAGATTAATCATTTCCTCTTAATTTAAACGTTCAATCGATGGATACTTAAAAAATAGTCATAAAATATTCATTTATTATGCACCTTCATGAGTTAATCTATATTTCTTATAAGAAGCTCTTGGGATTATGAAACTTATCGACTACTTATAGATAATAACAACTTGTGTTAAATTTAACATAACATTAGGCTGTTAAAAGGAATCGGCCAAAAGATCTACATCTAGGTTTCATACTCTCTAGTACCTGCTAGAAAAATATAACTAATCAAACAGCAACTCATGCTTCATATCGTATTCGAACCCTTCGTGAGTGATTTTTGTGCCATAAATAACTTCCTGTAAAACTAATGTACTTACATTAATTGGCTACATCGAAATAATCAATTACATTTTGTTTAGTCACTATTAAGAAACAAATTTCATCATTCAAGTTGCATTACAGCCGCCAGAACAAATATTTTGATAATAAGTACCTCCAGACATCAGACAAAATACACCATAACTTTAAGTTACTAATCCTTCTGGCTACAATGCAACTTTATCAATCAAATCTCATCATCACTAAGGACTAGAAAATGTAACATTCATTATTACTTATTATATCATAGTTGGAAATATCAGGAATTGAATATAAGTCTAAACCCTGCCTGAATAATTAATCTAAAGAGAATTATTTATTTATTTTACTGAATAAGGTTTAATACCTAAAATTTCTGAACAACAATTTCAATTTATCTTTAAAAGTAGTGAACAATGATATCCAAGAAATACAATATGAACTATGATCATTACTAATTAAATCCATGTATTGTGATTGTCTAAATTAATAGTATCCATCTATCTACTAGATTAAGCATATTTACTTAAAACATATATACATCAAAGGAGTCGACACAGTTCGATTTGTTCATATTTCTTTACTTTCTTTTCTTTGTTCAACTTTATTTAACTCAATAACAATCTGCTCGTTTGAAAAACAGCTGTTGTTTATTTTCGTATTATATGCTTAAATAATGTCCTATAAGTAGGATTCTATTCCTTTTACTCCACCAACCCCTTACTCATGTACCTTCATCTCTGGGATATCCGTGTATGTCACTAAAGTTTGTCGACTCTTACTCAACCATTTCGTTTTCTTTTATCTACGTTTTTAACTTACATATGTATATTCTAAGTTTATGTAATTTGGTCCATAATAATGTCTATTAAAAAAATCAAGATAATAACAGTTTTGTGAAATATGAGAAACAGAAATTAAATACTTTTATGAATATTATCGTTATATCATGAGGCATAATTCACTATGTGATTTTCTCCGTCAAATTGTCAGCTGGATGACGCAACCGAACGTTGATCCAAAATAACTAATTATTACTGCTGGTCTAAATGCTATTAAATCATTAAGTTATATAGTAACTGTTATAATAGTAATACATGTATTTTGAAATATGTTTCTTAAGTAACTAAAGATGTGGGTGATTTTGTCTTCTTTTTTTTGAATATATTATTAAACTTTACGAGTAAACGGTTGATTGATTCCAATCCATATATTTCGTTGCTATGTTGTCTCTAAATTAATGGTCGTATTTCTCATATTCACATAATCTAAAACATATTTTCATGTTAGATTAATGTTGCCAATTGATGAGAAGCTCTAAACCTAGTTTTTTCGCAGGTGTATTCATAGTCATCAGTCAGCTACCTCATCTGAATATTCCAGCAATAGTATATAACTGGTTCCGGTACTCGTATATACATTTGAATTTGTTGATGGGAATTATTGACACATCATTCTAATGAGTGTCAATCAGGACAATATGATTATCTATAGCTTCTAGTCTGTTGTTTGCTTCAATGTTACTCCTTTTTAATTTGCTTATCACTTACTGTTGAATTACAACATGAATTGTTTTCTTACTGTGCGATAATATACAGGTTATCTAAATGGTATTTATTCATTTGGGAGTTATTGTCCACTAGCGCACTATATACTATGGACCTAATAAAAGTTAACATTTATAAAGTAAATATATAAAGATGCCATGAGTTGATATGGAATATTAATTTGCCATACTTATAGGGAAAATTAACAAGGAAATACGAAAAAAATCATCAAATTGGTTGGTATAAATTAATAACTTAATTCGAGTTACCATTCCATCAATCAAACCCACTTCATTGTTAAAGTACATTTGACGGTAGTTTTCGATAGATCCCTTAGCCGACACCAATTCATTATGACTTTCATACTGAACTTCTTCACTATGAAATAAATAAGTAATAACTCGAGGGAAATACGCTTCTTAATGTTATGCTTACTAACCTCAAGTAAATGGAACAAGGTGTTCCAGATACGAATTTCGTAAAGCTTTACTGGCCTCAACAGCGACTCTACTATGTTGACATTGCGCTTAAAGCAAAGTTGAACATAGGACTGTCTTGGGTGAATCTTGTGTGGACAGGATTTCTGAAGGGCAAAACTTCTTACATCCATTTTTATATTATTTATCCATATTTTAAGGAACTGTTCATATTGTAGGCATACATTTGTCGATAACTGTAAAATCTATAGGGTAATACCCAGTGGGTAGGTATGAAGTACAAAGTAACTTGAATAAATTAGTCAGGTAACTCAGACATTAATACCTGAGAATTAATAGAGGAAATATCGTCGTTATGGATACTTGTCATCGCGACTGTTACTGGCATTCCGCTAATAAGATTTACGTATGATTTTTTCTACATAAGACATCCAGTGAATTATTGAAACAAATCAGTCGACCCATGCTTCGTTATGCAGCTGACGTTCTTGATTGAGGCGCGAATCTCAATCACTTATGAGGAGTGGTTGGGTTTTTTCTTTCATTACTAAAAGATTAATAATACACTGAGACCAACTATTTCTAACAATAAAACGGATATCAAAACATCTTATATTTCACCCCTTTTAGGATTGGTCTTCATGTTCACGTCATATAGAACCAGAAATTATGTTGAAGACAAGTTATACTTTTCTTTCCTTGTTTATTGATAAGCAAGTGGAATTATCTATTTGGAAAACCAAAACCAGCTGTTTTATGGTGAAAAAGGAATGATCCTTCAACTCTGCCATAGATGATTTATTATTTCCATGTAGTTGCCTT